TTCAATGGATATTTATAAATATCTCGCGATACCATTTATGCATTTAATCACAAATAATTCAAGAACAATAACGCGATAATTAATCTTTTAAACGAAAATAAATGCAACGAAAAACGGAAATTTAAATTAATATAATTTTTTGATGGGGATTATAAATATTACGTAATACCATTGAGTGAATTTTTTTCTTTTTTTAAATAACATAATACAATAACAGGATAATAAATCTTCTTTGCGCAGAAATGGAAAGAGAAATTGGAAAGAGATAATGGATCGATTCAAGTGACTGTGACTGTATAAAACGCGTCATGGGGGTCTATCAACACCACTCGAGTCTGGCCGTGGCCGAATTGAAAATAAATACGCCTCATCCAGATCCGTATCGCTGGGTCGAACGGTACAGGGAACGAAAATAGAGTTGCATTTAGAAGACCCGGTATATACGTGCTAGGAGGTCGTCGCGAATGACCGAAGAGTGCCAAATCTGAAAGATCACCTTTCCTTCTTACGAGCTGCCTATCAGCTCGCCTCTCTGCAACGTGTTTTAATATTCTTTTCTCCTCATTTTTTTCTTTTTTAGATAAAATAAATTTAAATAAAATAGTTATCTAGAGGAATAATGGAAGACAACTATTTACCTCAAAAAGTAAAATGATCTAAGGATTATTTATTGAATTTTTTATACGTTGAAAAATTAAGAAATTAGGAAATAAAAATTTTTTGGAAAATTATATATTTAATAGAAGAATCTTATAATAGTGATACTCCAAATTTCAAGATGCTTTCTTTAATATTTAATCTAGATAAAAATTAAAAAAAAAATCTATCAAATTTGTTAATCGTAGAAATTACTATAATAATTCATTAAAAAAAAATTTCTGAAGTAAGGAGTAATACTTCAAATCGCAAAGATCATTTAATTTAATAAAAATTCGGTAATTTTCTGAATCAAAAAATTTTTTTAACATCCGTTCATCATGTACAATTTTTTTCAGAATCGTAAAAATCGAGTATCAATTTTTAAAATTGGATCATCTTATAACGAAATTACGATACGACTAAGTTTTGAATACTAGGAAATTCCATTATTCGTATATTAAGTAGCGAGAAGATGTACTCCAGTCGCGTCATCACGTTCATCATTGTATTTTCGTTTCCAGTGACGTACGATTTAAAGATCAATCGACGTCATTCGGATGTTTTTAAACAGATGTATTTGCACTAATGTCGAGGTTAAATCCATTGATCAATCACGTTTTCGACTTGATAAATTCCTAATAATGATGGGCCATTAATTTTAAACAGAATTAAGGAGATTCGCTCTCCTCGAGAATTATGGATAAAATCGAGAACGAGATAAAAACGATACGTAATTGATCTCGTTGTTGTCATTCTTTCATCGAATTTGAATTGCAAATTAGATCGAAACGTGTTTAAATGATTGCGCAATGAAATTTCTTTCCATAAATGATTTTACTTTTCAAAATTTATGAAATTAAATTTTCATTAAATTATATATCGTTTTTTTTGTTCTATTTATATTTATCTTTGTTATAATTTTTCTTCTTTTTTTTTTTATTCTTG